CTTACTATACCTCTTCAGATCTTCTGCCTTCGTCTTCACATGCCTACGATAGAGGAGACGCTTCTGTTCGTAAAGGTACAATCACTTATTCTCTATTGGGACAAAGCAGCAGCTGGAAGACTGGGGAGGTACAAGATGAGCCTATAATTATTGATGGGACTAAAATAAGAACTGAGGAAAGTGGCAATCTTGCATGCATTCTAGCAAAAGATGGGTCGACCGCAAGAACTGAGATTGCCTCTTGTGTTAGGGTAGCCAAGGTGGCTCAAGTAAGACTTTTGACAGACGAATTTCCAGTCCAAACACTTGCTCTTGGTGCTCAACTTTATTTTCCTATCAAATATCATGATGCTCTTGGAAATCCTTTTCATGAGGCTTATAACATCACTCTTTTTGAGGCTGAAACTAACTACCCAGATGTTGTCTCCATTGATACCGACAATATTAATGGGTATATACATCTTCGAGCAAGAAACCATGGGATAGCTCTGGTGCAAATAGCATTTATTAGTAATTCTCAGAAGGCAGACTATGTTATGATTTTTGTTGGTCCTAGGTTGTATCCTCAAAATCCTGTCCTCCACCAAGGAGCCCATCTTAACTTCAGGATAGAAGGTTTGCGGGATGTACCATTGGGACACTGGTCAAGTTCCAATCGAAGCATTGTATCAATTGACAAGCAATCTGGCCAAGCTGAAGCCATTGGAGAAGGTACTGCCCGAGTTTGCTTTAGTAGTTCTAGTTTCAAGCTTCAAACTTCTGTTACTGTGTTGAAGGGGAATATAGTGTCAGTCAATGCCCCAAAAGAAACACTTACAAACGTGCCATTTCCAACAAACGGATATGGTTTTTCTGTAAAGTTTAGTGAGGCTCATGACAAGCACCATAAATCTTCTGGGGATAGTCTTGAATTCTTGTTTGATTGTGTGCTGGACCCACCTTATCTTGGATATGCACACCCATGGAGGGATCTTGACACGGGCAATCTGTATTGCCTCTTCTTTCCATATCCTCCTGAACGTTTGATGCATTCTACTCCCAATTCTATAGATAAAGACCGAGATATATATGTGACCATCAATGCTTCACTCAGAGGAGACAGTCATATTTCTGGTTCTGCATCCGCTCTTTTTATTGGAGGATTTACTGTACTTGAAATGGAGAAGAAAATGCGTCTAAATCTGACAGCAGGCTCCAACAAGGGTGTCATAACCATCATTGGGAACACAGAAGTTGAAATCCACTGGCACCACAAGGACCGGTTATCAGTTCGACCTGTCGACGGAGAAGGTCGTAGGGTCAGACAGCCTGTGACGTATGAGGTTAAAGTTCATGGAGCTGAGAGATTGAAAGATCAATTGGTTATCACACTCCCAGCCACCGGTCAAAGAGTTGAAATTGATGTCAGCTATGAACCGGAGGAGAGAAGAGAATCAGCACCCTC